CTGGAAGAAACTCGCATTCTACCAACCAGTAATACACATATGCTACTGGACAGTGCAACGTATGTGCATAGTGAAGGCAGCGTGCAAGCTTGGGATTTGCAGTTTTAAATGAAAGAGTACAACTCTCAGGACAAAAATACGGTAGATTTTGAACAACTTCCAGCCACAAGCTACAAAACCTGCAAGCCAGAAGTAGTATCCACTGACATGAAAATATCCAGATTAGAGGCCTTAATGAGAGTAAGTTGAGAACTCTGTCACCACCTTTCATAATTCAGTGCCTGAATTAACCTGGCCAGACTGAAGTAACTGAGGAGAAGAGCCATTTTCTCACCAGTATTGTTTTTCATAACATGCTACTGCACTAATCAAATTTTCTCCACTTAGTGCATTTTAACCTACTTTCTTCCTCTCTGAAAAAACATGTGCTCAAGGAAGAAGTGTAAAAATCATTTCCCCAGGAAGGTATGTCACTTGATTCCTTCTATCAAAAGCAAGAATCATGAAACAAAGAGGTTATATTGTCTTTGTTGCAAAAAATCTGGGGCAAGCTCGGTGGTTCCAACAAATGCAGAAACTCACTGGAAAAAAGCTTTTAACCAAACAGCATGTGAAAGCCACTTCGCCCACTAGTCCTCAAAGTTACTGTTCATTTCAGAAAGCTCCATACAGAGTATTAGAAGCAGTCCCTACAGCCTCCAAAAGTATTTCAGAACACACAGATTGCCAGACACAAGGCAGATGCTACAGGATTTTCCCCGTGCATTAGCAAAAGTGAAGTTGGGCACATAAAGCTCTTGATGGGAAGGCTCTTCCAGCTGAGTGCAGACAATCCTCCCCTCTCTCCACCTCCTCCTTCAGAAGTGTCTGGGCACAGAGATCACACAGCAGAGAGCTGCCACCTCTTAGCTCTTCCCTGAGGATTCCTGTGTCTTTTTGGTAACCACCTGTTCCCCAGGACATGGGAATCAGCTTTGGTTTCAACAGAAGGCCATAGCACAGTGCGCTGACCCTGTCCTTCAGGAAAACTTGCTATTGGAGCTGGTCTGACAGAAGAATCATCAGTGCCATAATTCTGACCAACAGCAATCATCCAGCTCCTTTCTCAGGCATCCTCCCAATTTTAAATACACATTTAGGCAGACACAAGGGGAAAGTTCAAGCTCATGTTCCCTGTTACCTGGATGATAATCAATACTTTCCTCTTCTTTCCAAAGAGGATGGCAAAAGCCTGCCCTCTTCATGCATTTCTACAAGGTTAGGGTCAGAGCACTGACCTCTCTGCTGTGCAGCAAGATGATAAATGACCTCCAGCCTTTAATGACACAGGTAGTCTAATAAAACACTAGAGCCATGCAACATGTCTGCCTCAGACAGGACTCCCCAGCATGAACAGAGTCATACCCAGCTGCGTCCACAGGACTGGCAAGCGACAGTTGGCTTGTCCTGTGCTGACTACAGATGAATGCAGAAGTAGCATTTAGCTATTTTAACTGATTGAACACATCCAAGCAACTGGGAAGTTCCTAGCAAGTGACATCAAGGGGTGCAATTTCTTTCCAATGCTGAGTTTCGTGGGATATTCTGTATTCTGATGGAAAGTGCGAATATGTTAGGTACTATTGATTAGTTTCATACCAGTGCTTCTAAGAGATCAGAGACTGAAAATACTAAGAAATAATGGAGACTAAACCCCTGCAGTGGTAGGAAACCACATGTGGTTCTACAGGTCAGGCTTCTTGTGTTAAAACTGAGCATTTTCCAGAGCCAGTAACGGTGGGGAGATGGTGGAAATAGGGTGTGGATAGAAAACTTGTCTAGTGGAAGAAAAAGAGCACAGAGCTAAGAAGAAAGAAGCTGTGGTTCAGTTCTCTCAGTGCTTCAGTTAAAGATCTTTGACTTCTCTACCTCACCTGTTGCTGACAGATTATGACTCTGCCATCACTTAGTCTTAGAAAGTCTGACCTCACTGTGTCAGCCCACCTCTCATCTATCTGATCTGTTTAGCTTAAGATCTACCCCAGTACTGTGGCCTGCTATCAGCCCACCATCCAGCTCTGATGTGAACCTACACCAACCAGCTGTGTTGAGTGGAAAGGCTAATTACTACTGTAGTAAATGAAATAAAATTACTCCTGAGTAATTACGTGTTTTAAGATACTTTGAGGTACACAGGTCAGCCCTAGATTACAAGCCTTCTGCTTTTGTGTGATCAAGTTAGTGGTTACTGCCAGAAGCAAGACATCCCAGACACTTCCTGGTTTGGGTATATTCTAACTAATAATTATTTGAATTTGAACATACAATTCCAACAGGAGGAAAGATTTTGCTGAAATTACTTTACAGGGATGTATTAATGGGTTCAATACTGATTAACAGCAGAAAAGAAAAAGTGAGAGTGGCAAGACAAATTGATGCATCTGACACTAATTGCTAGAGTCTGTGGTTTCTAAGATAGAAGCTTCCACATACAACATCTGTATCTTTGACAGTTCATTATATCTACATATATCACCAGGTCCATCATGATTACACAGAATTATGTGAGGCATTTTAACTTAAAAATATTACAACAGTTGTGCCATTTTTTCCCCTCTTTCAAATACCTCCATCTTTGAGCCCAGGCCCTGGATTTCCAAAAGCATCCTTTTGATACCTGAGGTGAAAACAACACAATCAGCAAGTTTAACTCCTTCAGTGGAGCACCTATAGCTTTCCAAAGAAGGATCTTTAGTGTCTGATTGCTTCAGTCATATGCAGATTGTGCAGCAACGCTGAGAGATTATATTGTTCAATTTGTTAGTGCAGAGGGTCCGTTTTTAGAGAAAGCAGACACTCTTTTGCCACTTTTCTCAAGGAGAAAAAAAAGCTCCTTTAACACTAAACTGCCTAGCCTACTTTTTAAATCCAACTACAATCTAAAATCCAAACTTCCTGCTCTACCTGCTTTACCTTCTTTGACTTTGTATGCTTCCAAGCATGGACTGGATCATAGCTGCCTCTTCTACTCACAGATTTGCACAGCTTTTTCTTCAAAGCATCTGCAACACTCAGCTCACACTGCAGAATAATCAGTAGTCAGGGCAGCCTCATGGTGAAGTTGCTCTTGGTAATTAAAAAGCTACCCAGAGCCCACCACCAAAACCAGAAATGACAGTACTCTTTTCTCCATTACCCACAAACACCATCATCATTCCCATGACTCACCACATCAGACCCTTCAAAAAAGCACATGATATGAATAGTTCACATTACAGTTGCCCATCTGTAAGCTCTAGTAGGCCTCCTCCACAAGATTCTCCTTCTTGAAAATGTTTATCCATGCTACAGCTTCTGCAAGGGTCTGTACTCAGCTGAGGTGTATGAAAGCAGTGGCATTTTCCCCATACCTGCACCAATCTCTTTTCCCTCACTCTGTTTTCTTAAACACAAGGAATGGAATTGTTAAGAGCGCTTACAGTTCAGTAATGCTTACTGGGTTCAGGCAATCCCCTGCAGATGGAAACACCATACCCTAAATGCCACTAGGGAAATCTGTAGAGTACAACCCTGGAAACCTCATGGGACAGCTAAGTTTCTGCAAAGGACAGAGCTGCTGCAAATGGGCACCAATTTAACAGATGCTGATTTCTGGTTCTCACTTAAGTTCTCTTGTTCTTTTTGTTTTTTAGAACTCGCCTCCATAGGTAAAGCCATCAATGTACTAGTGCAACTGTATTAGTAAAGCTGTGGAGATATAACATCTAGGTAAGGACTATTTTTCACTCTAAGTTATTTTATCCTGACAGCATGATCACAATTCCAAAATAATTTACCTTAAGATCAACAGATTTCTTTTCAGCATGGAGCTAGAATTGGTTACTACAAATAAAAACACGAAAGAAAATAGCAAAGTGAAACACACAAAGTATTGAAAAAGGTTTGCCTAGAAAAATCTGACCTTTTAAACTGAATTGTCCTTGCAGACACCACTTTCCATCTGAAATGTCCACAGAAGTTAAAAGATTTATTCTGTCTGTTAAAAGACTGTTTGAAACAATTGCTTTTTCCCCCCACTTTAATTCATTTTCATATTTCACAAAACAAAATAAGAGGCAGGCACATTGTATGTAAGGATTTGAGACCAGAAGATACTACAAGAGCAAACAGTACAGTAGCAATGTTCCTGTACAGGGGGAAAAAAATCAACCAACCAAACAAACAAAAAAAGACCTGATGCATTTGATAAATTCATGTCTGTTTTGATGGACAAAAGTAACTTCTGTTTTCCATTAAAGTCAAATATAGTACCTGTACACAAATGCTGACAGAGTGTGCATCTCTTGATGACTCTGGTTTGGACATTTATTTAAAGGAAGCACAGAAACAGGGAAGAGCAAGCGCTATGCACTTCACACACCAAGGAAGTCTTACATCTGACTTTGACCTGACAGAGGAACAGAAATACAGGATATAAAAATTGCTGTTCAACAACATTGCTTTTTCATCCTTAGAGCTCACACTCCTGAAAGGCAAACATGGAAATCCAGGAAAAAAAAAAAGGTTTTAAGTAAAGAAATTAAAAGGTCCAACAGTTCCTGCTATGGACAAAAATCAGATCTCGCAGTTCTGAGAAAGAGCATTCCTCATTCTGCCTCAAGTCGAGGTAAGACAGGAAGAATAAGATTTCCAAATGCAGAGTCTTGAGTTATGAAGTATCCTGAGGAATGTGCGTGTGCGTGCTGGAAAGAGAAAAACATTTGTTAAAGCGTAACTGCCTGCAGCACTGATATAATTCAAGACTTCACAGCTTCTGCAGCATTATTTATTTATTTCTCCCTGTCTGTTCCTCAACTCTGATAGTCAAATTCTTTTTTAAAATCAAAACCCACCTTTTAACCCCAGCCACATCTGAATAAGGCCCATCAATGGAATTAACTTGGCCATTCCCTGCTGCTCCCTTTTCAGCAAATCCCGTGGAGGTGGGGAGAGTGGTAATGAACTCCTGACCGCTCCCCTGTGCCCAGACCCCGTGCTTCCACTCCCACCTATAGCCAATTTACAGTTCTTGGTATGTATGTGACAGCTGCTATGTTTGGCTGCCACAAGTGTCACACAACCTGAGGCTGCAGGTACAAATGAAGTCACCAGACACACTCCTGTACAACATGGGACACCAGCTTTCTGCTCTGGGACACCAGCTTTCTGCTCATTTGATGTGTGTGTGTGTATATATATATATATATATATATGCTTGTTCACCTGAGGAGGCAGCTGCTGCTTATGGCTCTGGACAACCACTGTAACATCGTACATAGCCCTTCCCAGTTCAAAGACTGGATTCCAGTAGGCTAGAATATAAACTAGATGGCCTACATATTTCTTCCATATTTCTTCCTTCCACCACTCAGGAAAAGCCCTAGTGGGTACCAAATTTAGCCTGAGCCAGCAGCATGCCCTTGCAGTGAGAAAGGCTACCAGCCCAGTGGGCTGCATCAGCCACAGCAGAGCCAGCAGGCCAATGGAAGCTGCCCATCAGGTTGCATTTGCAATACCCTGTTTGCTCTGAGTACAAACTGGAGGGAGTCCAACAGAGACCCAAAGAGACAGGTGGGCTGGAGCTCCCAACATCCAAGGGGATGGTGAGAGGACTGAGCTTTTTGTAAGAAGAGAAAGCTGAGGGGAAATCTTACACTGTTTTTAGATACCCAGTGACTGGGTATAGGGAAGACAGAGCCAGACTCGGAGCCAAGAAATGCTGTGAGAAGTCCATACTTGGAGAGCTTCAAAACTTGATAGGACCAGGCCCTGAACAATGTGATCTAGCACTGCTGTCGGTCATTCTTTGGGCAGGGCACTGGACTAGAAACCTCCAGAGGATCCTTCCAGCCTATGATGTTCTGTGATTAACACAGGACACCAGCCAGAGCTCACTTCCACTCACTCATTTTAGGAGAAGCAATCTGGGGCCTTTACTGGGCAACAGAAACACAAACAAGGCATAGGATCCGTGAGCAGTGCTGCTTGTTTGCATCTCAACCTTTTTCCCATTCCTGTGCCCTCTGCCAAATCATGTTGTCTAGAGTGCCAGGAAGGCAGGTGGCCATGTACTGGTTTCCCTGCTCAATTTCCAATTTCAACACCAAAATCAGCCTCACTTGCCATGAGGAAAAATAGCAGCAAATAGAAACCTGTAAACATACAGGTAAGTTTTCCAAATCTTTCATCCCTCTCACTCCTAACTGCAGTGTATTTACTTGGCTTCTACTCGGACTCAGCCAAGGAAAGCCATGTGGCTAGTTCTCCCTACACTTCATAAGACATTTGGAAGTATGATGAAACTGAGTCTTGACTTAGATATACAAAACAGCTACGATGATACCGTAGGCTACATTCTTACAACCATATTGAGGGGGAATAAAATCACAGATTTAAGCTTTCATCCGGAACAGAAGAAGAAACTTAATTTGTAACAAATACAGAAATGTATGAAAACTAACCTCTAAAAGGGGCTTTTCATTCTCTTTAGGTGCAGGACTGCTCTCTGAAGGGATGCACATTCAGCCAAGCTGAACTCCACCCGACTGCATTAGCTTACCTGCAGTGCAGCCTTCTGCTGTGCAGCGATGTGCTGTTGCTCAGCGTGATCACGGAAATCCTTGTTCAGTGGTGATCTTGCAAGTGCAATGCTGCACAAGGAACAAGATGGTTTGATAAATACCACAGGGAAAAAATGTGTCCTTGCTATTCTAGACATAGTTCCCATGACTTCCGCAGCTCACAACTTACTGGACTCATGGCTTGACAATTGTTAATTACTGTTTGGAATTACTATTTGTTAACATAAGGGAGAAAAGGAAAATGGAGTGACCACAGCTGTCTCATTTGACATTATAAGCACAAACAACTGATGGCAAACTAAACTCAAAAAGACTCACAGTCCTGAAGCCTGTTGTGGATTTTACTCATGGGTAGAGTCCCACTCAAGTCAGTGGAACCACTGGGGTGCAATGTTAGACAATGTCAGCAATTTTACAAACAAGAGCTCTGTGTTTTCACCATTACTCAGTCACTCAGTGACTGTCCTTAAACAACTGTGATCAACAGAAGCAATAACAAGAGCTCTGCAGTCTCCAGTTCACAGGCAGGTGGGCAGCAGATCACTGCTTATGGTAAAGGAGCTTCCTACTTATGTAACTGAAATAATGATCCTCTGATGATAGCTTAGAGTACCTAAAATTGATTTGGCTTACCTATCTCAGTGCAGCATGCATTAGGTTTCAAAGTAAAATTTCTAAATAGGTTTTCTTGGCTTTTATATCTTAAGACTTATCCACCTTGCTCATCAAAAAAGAAGAAATAAAAAGCAGACTTTTTTTCCACCTCTGTAAGCAACACGATCAGCCATCCTCCAGAGAGAAATCAGTGAGGACTGCCATTAAACCTGTATTGCAAGGCAATTCACAACTGCCTCTGAAATTGGCTCTGGAGACTGGTGCTGAAAGCCCAGCTCTGCTCAGTTATAGAGACAAAAGTATGAAGGACAACAAGGGATCCAAGCAAACTCATCAACTGACCTTTCCCAGCAGCTTCAGTGTCAGCATCTGATTTAGTAAATCAGTTTTCCAAAAGCAGCCACACTCACAAAAACACCTTTACCCAAATCTATGTCTGAATGCATAATGAAAGCTAAGTAACAATCCTCTGAGCAGATTTTAGAACAAATATTAAGATAAGCTTCACTGCTGGAGAAAAGTACTACTCAGTTTATTTAAATCATATCTTCAGTTATTTTGAAGGTATTTATTTTGCATTTTATTCTGTACTCTCTAACTTTTCAATATGATTTCTGTAGACAATCGTAAGGCTTCATCATAAGCTGACACTTTTCAAGAGAAGTCTTCTTTTCTCAGAAAGAGGACTCCCCTCTGCCAAAGCCAAAAATCAATTAACTCCTTCACCCTTACACTGTTGTGCTTCAGGTACGTCAAGCTTTTTTCTGTCAAGTTTGCAGAATTTCTGTGGTCTCACTTCTGACAACTCTGTGGTCCAAAACCTTTAGCATAACATCCTGCCACAGAACTGTCAGCTTCTCAAAAATCAGGTATCAGTCCACCATGCCAAAGCAGAGAGTTTGCTGCTTTGTAGGTTCCCCTCCCACCCAGTTCCCACCTTCAAAATTAGTAAACTCTAATTCTGCTCACTAGCATGTAGTGTTATTGTTCCCTAAAGAAAAAAGAAAGGAAACAAGCACCCCCTGAAACTCTGCCAGACTTGCAATGAAGAATGCAAGCACTGCTGCCAGAAGCCAGGGTTGTATGTAACAGTACCATATTTCTATTTTCTTTAATCGATAATTTTGCTTGAGTAACAAGTGTATACAGAGTCACTCAGAGAGCCAACTCAGACAATTTCAAATGTTCTGCGTGCTTTACGAAGGAATTAAAGGTGACCTACAATCTCCTTGAAAAAGAGACACAGGCAGCGCTCAGACTGTATTCAGAGTATTTGACTCTTGTACAGATATTGCATGTAACACACTGTGTTTAGAAGATGGCACTGCACTCACTTCATGCCAACCCAAAAGCTCAGCTATCTCAATTTCTCCATATAAATTAGCATGTGATGTTCCAATTACTGATTTACGACAAAAATCTAATCTTTTTGTCTTAAATGGGAGAAATCCCAGTGATAGCTCCCAAATTCAGATTAGATTAATACACCTTATGGTGTAGAATCATCCTTACAGTGCAGCACCTTTTAAAAGAAGATCTGCAGAAACATAAACTGGCTTTGTCTTGCACACAGGGAGGTTCAACAATAACTCACTCCCTGCCGTAACTGTTCTTCTCTAAACACAAGTACCCTGAACCTAATGGTCTGCTGCTTCCATTCCTTAGGGCATTTTAGCTTAGTTATTAAATGCTTTCTCAGTGCCTGCTACCTGATTCTTCTTTAAGGTTGACTTTAATACAGTTGAGTAAACATTTCTGCTTCTCTCCTTCTCAAATGGAAATTATGTAAGCCAAAATTCAGTGTCTGTAAACATTTTAAAATAATATGTTCCTAAAGTACAAGGTCTCTCGGACTGGATGTTGAGGAGGGTCAGAAAACACTTCTGATAAATGTTTATGTACTTGTTTTTTCCCCCCCCCCACCTTTGATGAAATCAGTGATGTCCAAACAGGTCTTAGAACATAAAATACCTGGCTCCAGGGTGATTTGTGGAAGACTGGTTTTGCATAAGTAACTTTCTCTTCTCCTTGTCTAGTTCTGCCAGGATTGCAACCCTATTTTTATTCTGGAAACCTGGTGGGAATGACAGAAGAACATTAGAGAGATTGACTCGATTTCTATGGCCCAACCCTAACCTTGTGTAATTAAAAGTCTCTGTACAATATGACATTATGATGAATACACTCATCTTCAAAGCTTTGCACCCATCTGAAAGGCTATTAACAAATAGGTTTCATTTTTCCTTTTCTCATTTTACAACCTGAAATAGCTTCCTTGAGCTGTCATACATATTCATACATTTTAAAATATAGCTTTCTATCTCAAGTTAGATCCTACCCCTTCCCAAGCCAGCTTGGGAGTTATAAACAAGGTACGTGATCAAATACTTGCCTTTCCAAAAAATAAAAGTAAACTTAGCAGTTCTAGATTTCAAATGCAGTCACTGAACATACATCTCCATTATAATAATGGAGTAACATACTCATGGGTCCTAATTTCTCATGCCAGTGAACTCAAACTGTAATACAAGTTTACGTATGTAACAGGTAAGACTGAGATAACCACCATATACTCATACAAAAAGTCACAACCTTTTATTCAATCTGTGCAGAAAGGTTCTAGTTTCAATATACCTATGTCCCTACGTATACACACTACTCCTATTCTGAGTGTGACCACACTGCTGGAATAGAGAAACAAAATTAAACTGTCCTAACACAATATGAGAACACGGTCTTCATTTGCTCTGTATATCATCCTCCCAAAGGTACTGTCTATCTAGGGAAGGGGTCAGGAAGTCGAGTGACTGATGGCATTTAGAAAATGCCTAAAATAGCTGCTATTTGTGTATTTTCAAAGTTGCCTTCTAAATGAAAATGTGGCAAAACTGCTGGACTTACACAGGACTCGTATGATGAAGGATCTCAATGCAGTCACCAAAAAAACCCAGATTCACAAGTCCCTGCTGTTGCCCAGTATGTCCATACAGCACAACTGAGGACAACAGCTACAGAGCTGACTCTTACAGGCCTCTATGCCACTAAGAACACTCCTTATGTCAAGAATATACTTTTTTTTTTTCAAATCTCTAATTTGCTGCTACTTCTATAAATATGAAGCCACTACACTGTCATAACTTGACTTTTACATCTTTTTTAATCTCCTTTATTTCCCTTGTACAAAAAGCTAAAGTCATTCCCACTAGAAACTGCTGTGTGTTGTGCTCCCACCCCCATCCTGAGTGCTATTTTAGTCACACCACTAAAAAATGGTGGTCCACAAGCTGGCAGGAAGGCCAGACATGGTGACTCTTAAGGGGAGTATTAGTGTGTCAAGGTAAAACGATTTCAAATTTACTTTCAGTAGCTGTACTCACTCCCTTTGAAAGATCTTCTGTTGCTGCTCAATTACATAATCCAATTTTACTTTCATCAGCATGGGCTCAATGAAGGAGACAAGTATCAGGTAGAAACCTTCAACTGGAAGTAGTAATTTGCATCCATACTGCCTCACTACCAAACCCTCATATACGTGCCCCTGAGCCTCAGTGTCTCTCTCAAGAGTTCTCAACAGGAGCAGTCATTTGATTACATTTTGCTGTGGTTTTATGCAAGATCACCCATAATCATCTTTACATTTCTTAATAGATTTTTAAATTAAATTTAATTAGTTGCTATTTTCCCAGCTGTTAATCTGTCCTTCTCACATGGCATTAGTACCACTTTAACTCTGTTTTGTAAGTGTATTGATTCAGGTCTTTGATGTTTCTCTGCTCTTTAGGTAGTATACACTATCTTTTTTGAACACTTGACATAGTACTCAGCAGCCTTCTGCCAGTGCTTGTTTATCCCAAACTGCTCCAACTGTGTTATGTGAAGATGTGAAGGCACTCACATACCTTTAAGACAAACAACCACCAGGACAGAAAGAGACCTGGTAGAATTGCTACAGCTTGAAGCCTAGAATTCTGCAAGTACTTCAAGAGCTTCATTCTTCCATTGTACCAGAACGCTTCTTTTCTGAAAAGTTCAACCCTGTCTGAAGCAGGATCTGTATTTCTTCCACCTTTGGGGACCTAAAGGACAGATCCTTCCTGAGCAGTCACATTTCTCTCATCTCAGAGGGCTTCCTCTAGGAGAACTCACACATGGAGTCTTTAATTTAGTAACACACTAGGTATGCTTGCTGGGCACAAGCAAAAGTATTACAAGAGCAGCCTCATTAAGACATGTGTGAGGTATAGCTGCAGAAGCCACGCATTACCAAGCATCTGAAAGTAACTCCTGTAATTCAGAAGCTGATTTCCCCACCCCACCAAAATGTAGCACTCTGGTCTCCGAGCTCATCTTGTGGACAACACACAGCATTCTGAAAGCTTTTCCAATTCTGTAACTGGCTCTAATCAGTCTCCTGCAATCAGCTCCACCTGGTACTAACGCCTGAAGTAAGGCTTTCATTCACTTCTGCTGCACTCGTATGCAGCTCCTCATCTTTGAAATTCTAAGCAAGTGCTTTTCTAAAAGATCAATGAATTAAAGGAAGTCCAGTCCACAAAATCTTAACTGTTGTAGTCCCTCCCTGCAATTAACAGAAAACTCAATTAACTCCTAGGAAAATACCCAGCACTGATTAAAAGGAACCAAATAACTTGGTACAAAAAATTATGAACGCTTGTGTGGAAGGTTAATGTTTAATTCATCCTTAGAGCTCTGTCTGAGTTAAGTGCTACCCTTCATAATCCTTCCAGCGAGTGTTTCAGTAAATCCCTATTCCTTTTGTCCAAGAAGAGGGAAATGAGAGAATTAATTGCTTGAAGAGTAGCAATACACGTGCCATGCTGAAAATGCAGGACTTGTCTCAATCATTTTCACTACTAGACTGTATTCGGTCAAGAGAAAGATACAGAGGCCTTGAACTGTTGCTTGGGTGTACCTGTTCCTTTCTAATTTCCCTAGGTGTAGTATTTATAGGCTCATTTCCATGATTTCCATGAATTTTATAGTGTTTCTTGCCTGCCTAGTGCAAATAATCTACATATGGTAATTAAACAGTTCTTTTAGCAAGTCTCTAAAGGGTATCTCAAAGTATCAAAGCAGATTCCAAGGCTCTATTAAATTATAAGCCTTTGGAATTTGGAGGGAAGCAAAGGCATATGGCACTAAAATCCCATCCTACTTCTCAGTAAATTAACATATTTAAGAAAAACTAGCTTTTAACTCTCTGTGACAACATTCTGTTCCTTGCAGTGACGCTGACTTGGCATTCACAGAACAAAGCAAGATTTATCGTTACAAACCAAAAACTTCTGAGTTAAAATTTGCTAACAGACAACTATGTGCAATCTGCAGTACTCCTCTCTCAACACTTCATTAAAGTTCAATAAGTGTTCCAAAAACTACTTTATTTTCATCAGGTAGCAAGTAAAATCTGTCTTTTTGGGCCTAAGTTTTCTTCTATATTTGTTTTGACAGCCTTTGAGGGGGAGAGGGAGAGGGAGGGAACTGCACAAGTAATCTGGTAGCCCTTCAAAATATCAGCACTTCAGCATTACACCTGGCTTTGTGGGACTGTTCTCCTAGCTAAGGACACTCACACACGTGAGATGTGCATGAAGAAGCCTCAGGTTGCTGAGAAACTGAATTCCAAATTAGTTTTTCATAACCAGTAAGTGGAAAGCCAAACGTGAGGAACTTCTTACTCCTCCTCTTACTCCTGAACTTCTTACTCTCCCGTGGAGGAGACAAACCTGGGAGTTCCACTAAGATTTCCAGAAAGCACCTCTAGAGGGCAATTTAAGACTCTCCTTCAATTTCCAGTGTGACCTCCCAGACCCTCAGCTCTGGCTAATACACCTGCCTCAGCCAGACAGATGGACCATTTCCAGGTCTTGGATGATTTTACAGATGCCATTCAGATGCGTCATCACGCAAAGAAACATTTCACCAGAGTTAGAATTATGATTTTATTTGGCTTTTCCTCCTAGGCCTGGCCACGTGCTACCCACCTTTGACAGGGGTGACTGCCTGGGTCCTCTGCTCCCATCACAACATGCAATATTTTACATTTCTGGCTGTTCCCTGACGCCGAGTGCAAGAGCTGCAACTCAAGTTCAGTGCTAAGCGCTGTGTCTGAAATGGGCTTCAGGAAATAACCACGGCACCACAGGCATGACAGGTCCTTCACAACCTGAGCGTGAAAGAATGCACAGTAATTCCGAGCTCCCCAGCCATCAGTGGTCTTCTTCAATGGTTTAATGACTGCGACTTCTCCCAGAAGGCTTGATCACATTCTGCTACTTTCAGCCCCGCCTTGCTGCCTCTCTTGTCCCTTTTTGCACTTCCTATAAAATCAACTTACGGTTTTGGTGACTTCATTGACATTTTGCCTGTAGTCTTCCCACTTGAAAACCTACCTTGTCCTGAAGGATTTGCTGCCATCCTTCAACTTTCAGCCTTTGTTTATTCAGCAGCAGTTCAAATCTTTTAACCCCACAAATATCTGCAAAACAAGCACAATATAAGATAACATATTCTTTTAAAAGAAAATCTTGAATTCAATTGTTGTAGATTTCATAAAAGCAGCAGCCATTAGAGAGCATAAGCCAAGAACAGCACGTGTATTACTTAAAATATGCAATTGTATTTTTCTGATTTAAATGTTTAGCTTGAAATATCAACAGTTGTGATAAATTCTTTTTCAGATTCTAGTAAGTTCAAAATAACTTTTAGAACCATTCTGGTCATACACACTTTTTCCTAACAGACCTTTCTCCTGACAATGTCAGACCACACTTAAGAGTCACGTTAAAGCATTTTAGTCCTTCGATGCTAAAGCCCCAAAAGACCTCAGTTTAGGCTCTAACAAAAGAAAACCGATGATTTGAGGAAAGAAAACTTAAATGCCAGCTGCAAGGCCTGCTGAAGGTCACCTGTGGTAAAACAAAACGGGGTGCCCGCCCCTCAGCCACCATCAACTTCTCCTTCCATCCAGGTGCCGGGGGGCGGCCGAGGGCCCCCGCTCGGGCGGCCGGA